TTTTGCTATCTCAGGGCATACTCACTCCAGAGAGGCTCACTGATCCGCTGCTGTATGCCACAGATCTCCTTCACCCAGGAGTTCTTGATATTCACTGTACGTGCCTGAAGAAGGTACTTGCGGACCAAGTCTTCCCGTTCATGCCAGATCTCAAATGCCCGGTCATCTCCTTCCACAAGGTCATTCACATCTATGTTGTTCAGCTGCACGACAGAAGGACAACTAAGTCAACACACATCCTGTGTTCCTAGGGCTGATTTCAGCCAGAACTTTTCGCACAACTGAAATCCCAGAATTTAGGACAGTTCAGATCTGGACCTAGCTTTTGTGAACCAGAACTGTCTTCAAACAAGGTTTGAAATGGAAACAACTATTAAACACAAGCAAGTTTCCTGCTGCCAGTGTGTACCCTCTCCAGTGGATGAGCTGTGCCATTCCCATTAAAGCTGTGTTAGATGCTCCAACAGCAAAAGGGGTAACTTACACTACTTTCAAAGATTTTTCAGAGTGCGTGAGTGACACAATGTGGCTTTGGCTGAACAGCAATCAGGGTCATTTGGCAATCCTTTTTCCAGTATACTTGAATATCTGGTTACCAAGCAGACATTTTCCTGGGAGTAATTATCAGATTTCAGGAAAATAACATCCAACATTAAAAGGTATCCCAAGGGTGGGACACATTGTTCCTACAGTGCAGCGCTGTTGGGCTGAGGATCTGCACAATTAGGGACCGCATGAAAAGGCATTACAGAGCAGGCACTCTCTGGACAAATCATCCTTTTTTTTTTTCTTGGGAAATAAAATCTGCCTATGAATGCTGAGAGGACAGAAGTAAGGACTTTCAGAAGGCCCTGTCTGGGCTTGGTCAAGAACTCCAACAGGGTTTTTGGTTGGTTGGTTGTTTTTTACGAGTTAAGCATCTGCTGCTTTGGGAAAACTCCTCAATTTCCTGCAGTTTTAACATGAGCCCTGAATGTTTGAAGATAAGCTGGCCAAATCCTCTGAATTTTTCATTTCTAAACCAGGAATTAGTGTCAGGAAAGGACATAACCCACAGAAAGAACAACTAGGAATTAGCTTATGACTAAAACAGCATTTCCTCCAGTTTATTACCAATGTTATAGTCTGCCAAGACCAAAAATCTACAAATGCTAGCAAATACTATAGACAGAAAAATTCACATCAATATTTCATATTGATGCAATTAACTCAATGAGGTAAAAGATGAATAAACACTTGTACATCTACAATCTCATTGCTGCCCCATAAAAATCCACCCATGCTTCTGATGGTTTCTGACATGTTTCTGACAGGTTTAAAAGAGATTTTTGGATAGACATAAATTCTACTTGTGTTTCAAAGACTTTTGGAAACAAAGGAATAGCTCAAAAGAATTAATAAAATGTCCAAACTGGATGTAAACATGAAGTTCTAAATGGCAGAGAAATGCTCTAGTTGAGGATAAAATGATCAGACCTTCATGATGTTCTTGAAGATGTAACTGTAGGTGTCTGTCCTTGTGTCCCGCTTTGGTTTGCAGATCACAAGGTAGTTTTTGAAGAGGAAGACATGCCTTTTGTGTCCTTTCCAGGCCATTCTAGCTCCTGGAGCTCCTTCCCACACAATGAAGTGGCCCTGGTAGGAAAAAGAAGGAAGAGCACATAGCAATAAACCTGGAATAATTACCACAATGATGTCTCACCATCATTTTTCAGTGAACAGATAGCAAATGTTTACTGTTATATTGTCACACCTTACATTGTCACCTTATGTGTCTGTTTTATTGCAGCACAGCAGGTTGTTTCTAATACTAAAGGTGATGCATCAGACTGACAGCACCAACAGGAGTGCACAGAGTGCTTGTCATTATATTGTCCTTTGAATGGTATTATTTGTTGCCAGAAAAACACAGAGCTCTTTCCAGGTAGGCACACTCTTTGAAATAGAAATGCTAATGAAAATTGTATTTTGTGTGCTAGATGGACCCTTTGTATGTTCCCTTGTTCTCCTTCACCACAGCAGGACATTAATTTCATACACCATCAGACTTACACAGCTCAGTTAGTGACATAGGTTCCCCCTTGACATCATTAGGGAGAAATAAGCACTCTTGGGGTGGGATTGGACTTCTTTTTGGATGTGTAAATGTGGATAGATGAATGTCCACCAGAGCATTACTATAATTTAGCCTCACAACTTCACTCAGCAATACACTGTGATTCCAATGGAAGATATGGGATACAAACTGGCAGAGTAAATGACCTGCCGTGCATGACACAGTAAGTCTACAAAGAAATTCTATGATTCTATGAAACAGGACTAATGTCCTGATAGTGGGGTTATCTTTCCTCTGTCCTCCTAAACGACCCATCCATTTCATTACAAAGACCTGAAGGAGCACGCAGGTCTCCTGAAGAGATACAAACAGCTGTGGGAGAATATCCATAAATAGATGTGATGTTTTTCACATGGAGCACATGCAACTTATGCTATGCTACCTTGTACTGACTTGCCCAGCAAACTAGGCTGTTCAAAAGAATTGTGTAAATTTGAAACCATGTAGACTGAAAAGGTTCAGTAAGCTTCTGACACCTGAGGAATCAACAGGAAAACCCCACTGATGTTGGTAATTTCAGGAACTGGCCCATGTAGCTTGCTAATAACAGACGAGGAAAAAAATAAAATGCTGTAAAGTCACATGGGGGCTCAGAACAAATTTGTTCCTGTTTAATGAGTGGGTTGGAAAGGCAAATAACTACATTGTGTGTGAATTGTTCCATAAGTATCTATGCTCTTGTGCTTCAAACCTTAACCACGCCAGGACACCCATCTCTTTAAACAGTAAGAAAGGCAATATGCCAGTACTCTCTTTCAGATATGATATCTAAATGAGTTTCTTGTAGCACCTAAGGCTACTTAGAAACTAGTGAAGTCTTGCATAGCACTAACACCAGCTAGGAAATTCCAGTTACCTGTCGGATGGGTTCACCAAGGCTTTCCAGGGTGCCTGGATAATTCTCAATGAGCGAGACATGGAGGTTGTTTTCTGCTCTTCGGGTGAGTGCAGACACAATGGCATAAGCCTGCTCCAGCAAAGTGCAGTTTTGGCTGTTTCTTGCTTTGTTTCGGATTAATTCCTGTAGATGAATATGAAAATGTTACTAGGCAGTCAGAAAAAAGCATACATTTCCTTGATAGCCTTGATAGCCAAAGAGTTTCTGAATATCTGTTCCAGCTCTTTCACCTGAGCAACCTTTATCCCATTCTTTCACCATTTGCTGCTTAGATATTAAAGTCTCTTCTTTCCTAACCAGAATGGCTTCTCCTTATATCAGCTGACATTAACCAAAGTTGAAGCAAATATGATATGCTTCAGTGACTGAGAACCAAAATATTTCCAAAACAGTCTTACATGTATCCGTTGCATTTCTCTTGTGCTTACCATGATGATACCAGGAGGCAAGCAATGCAACCATTGGCAATGCTAAATGAAGAGTGGATCCTAGACTAATAAAAAGAGAGATTGGAAAAAAAAAGAAATGGCAGTTGTCTCATTCTTCTCACATTTGTTCCTGTTCTTCTCTTTTAGCTATAAAAGCATGGGAAGTGCCCATGCTTGTTCTGTCTTCCAAGAGACCCTTAAAAATGTTGGTGTTTGTGTGCAGGCATGTGCTCAAAATTAGAAAGTTAATGTCCTTTGAACTATTCAAATGTCTCACTTAGGTGACACTAGAATATAGAAATATGTTGGCATGACTGTCTTCTTCCTGGATGTCCTAGTGCTGTTTCCTATGAAAAATATTATTTTGAAGGCTGCTTTTAAATGTTTCTTTGTGGTCTGGGCTAGAACCTGAGATAGTGGGGCAGATGAAAGCTTGAAAGATGAAACATTTCAGGATGGTAGAATGAGAAAAGCTTTTTAGAAAACAAAAATTTCATCTTACTATAATGTCAGTATAAACCAAAACAAAATAAAGTGGTAAGCCAGTATCTTACACATTGGAAACTGCTTATTTTTATAACAAACATACCTGTTTATGTGTGTGAAACAAATTCATACTTGTCATACAGACATAGTTGACATACTATGTCATATAGACAGGCATGTATTTGTATATATGTAAATAAGCAGATATTTTTATATATGTACACATATATTTAAAGATTACTCAGATAAAGCTTGCTAAATTTCTGGAGTTGGAGATGGTGAACCTCTATCTGGGTTTACGTTTAAAAAACTATTTAGAAAGCACCATCACAGTGATTACTGTCTTTCTTACTCAAGCTGCTTTCAATTGTAGTTGCATCAAAAAGAAGCCAAGAAATATGAAATAAAAATGAAGGCTTTTTCTACACAAGGTGCACAAACCAGAACATAAACCTGTCAGATATATGTGTATAACAAAAGCTCTTCACCTTGATTATAGTCTGATACTGCTGGATCCTGGTTATGGGTTTTTCTAGGTAGTGCTGCAGTGGTGGGATAAGTGGCTGTGAAGGATCTTCATTAGTTAAAATTTCATCTGTGTATCTCTGAAAAAATACATCGAAGAATGAGGAAAGGTTGTCATAAAGAACAAAGGAAAAGATCACTCCCTGGAAAATGCTCAAATGATGCTGGTTCATAGACCAAACTCAACCAAAGTTGAATAGCTCTACCAGACCTCGCTACCACATAGTTTGGACACCTCTAGCCCTTCCCCATCTTTTATCAGCTAGTTATTATTTTACACTGCAAGAAGTCTGAAATGCTGAATTTTTTCTGCTTTTCCAGTGCAGGATTGACACTGGGGATATGTGATCCAAAGCTAGACAGCGTGACATGAAAGATGAGCACTTTCAGCAGGTGGGAGGGCAGAAGAGAGTGAACTCAGTGCCAGAAACTGGTGCCAGACCTTGGTTGAGGGTGGTCTGTGTGTTTGTAGTGCCAGCAACTGGGTCTTGGCACCAGCAGCTGGAGTGGGAAGTACAGGTCAGAGGGCCTATGTGCTGGGACATGAGTCACTGAGGTGGATGTTTATCCTTTCCCACTGGTGCATGTGGGTGCAAATGTGTGAAATTCACCAGCAGGTTTAAGCTGGACTAGATGCAAACACAGGACCCAGAGGGGCTTGGAGCTTGTGCTTATAGTTTGAAGGATCTGTGAATGTGGGGTGAGTGCGTGCATGTGTTTTCTAGCGAGCATAAAGCTGGATCAGCTGCTGAGCAGAAGGCACATGGAGAGAGTAAAAGCTATGAGGATCTGGACATGGGTATTGGATGGACACAGGGGCAATGCTTGCTACTGAAGGGATCCACAGACATGCATATATTCATGGATCTGGAGTGTTGTGTGTCTGTTTTCACTAGTGAACTCCAGTCTTGGAGCAGAGAAACAGGATTTGCCTATCTATCCTTCTGATTTATCTGAGTTTGCTTGGCCTTATAATGTCCCTTAATTACAATTACATAATTACAGCCACATTCATATTTGTATACTTTTTGTAATATTCATATAATATTTTATAACATTCATATAATATTTTATAATAGTCACATAAGCATATGTAAACATGTTCCCATACTGATAGTACCCACCAGGAAAAGCTAGACAGTGAACACAAAACTATTATATTTAGCAAAGATTTCCCACAAAAAAATTAATAACCTTTTTCAGGGTCAAATTTGTGATTAATAACTACATTTCTTGACGAAATGGATTATAGGATGCATGTTCTGCAGTTACTTTGGCTATTGTTTACCTTATAGAAATCCTGGACAGCTTTGCTGACAACAATTGACTCAGCCTGTACTCTCCCCACCAGGTACTGGATGTACTTATTAAACTCTGCTTCATGCTTGATAAAGCACATGGCCACATCATCATCAGTATCACATTTCTGCAAGCCTCGGAGAAAGACACTGTGGAAACAAAGGAAAAAAGACATATAAGGAGAAGGTGATGGAATGAGACTAGAGCACAGCCCCAGCAGACAAACTTAAGTCAGGTTAACACAGATTGAAGGAGGTGACTGAGGGGCACGAGGGATGTGCCACGTTAGCATTAAACTTCTCAATGCCTCTTCATCCACCATGGTGCTGTTCGTCTTAGCTTGAATGTATGAAATGCCCTGCCAGAAAAGTAAGGATAACTTGCAAGGGCTCAGTTCAAGCTGGGAATTAAGTCCTCGCCAGAACCTTATGCTTCAGTTTAAGGATCACTGAGCCATCCACACGAGTGAAGACAGAGATCCTCATTTGGTTTCACAAAGGATGTTGAGACAGGTTCATATGCACAAAGATTTTCAGCAGTGTCGGTAGCTGATAACATGCATTGCCTCTCACAGTTGAAGTTGCTTTGAGGGGAAAAACAAAAGGAGGAGGAAGGAGAAGAGAGAGAGGGAGGAAAGAGACAGGAAATCTATTCTCATGGCCCAGGCAGGAAAAGTGCCAGTGTCCCATACAAACGTCCTCCCCATTGCAGAAGTAGTGCCCCCCATAATGCTTTACCCAGAGTAACTATATACTTTTAATTGCAACATGCTCAAACTCCTTATTGGTTGCTCTTGCTTATCATGTTATCAGTACTGGTCAGAGCACACATGGATAGGAGAAGATGCTGCACCGCTCATTGATTGTTGAGCTTTGTGTGTGCATATTATTGACCCTTCCCCCAAGATAAACCAAAAGTTAGGACCACAGGGTAGGAAAACAGTGAAGAAAGGGTGAATCTCATGCTGTTTGCAGGGACTTCCCGTGAGAATAATTGCCTCCTATGAAAGCAAGGATATCAAGGTGCAAAAGGAAGCCTCTCACCAATGGAAAGCCTAAGGCACGTAAGACACTGTACACCACCTCCTCTCTCTGGAAAATAAAAGTATTTCAGCCTGGATGTTGGGAAGTAATTTTGTGAACAGCCGATCTGCAGTAAATCCTTTCCTGGAGTAGGCAGAGGCGTTGTGCCGTGGCACTGTGCCTGAGCAGCCTGCTACAGCTGGATGTGTTTCGAATGCCTGGGCACTAGCATCAGTTTTAGATGAATGTGTGTCTCTACAAAGACACCACTAAAGTGGCTGTAAGACCATACTGCCTTTTAAAAATAATTCATTGTTTCTTAATTTAATTCACTTAAAGGGGTAAGAAATAAGCTGGACATATGAAGCCTTGAAGCTCTGAAGGATATTATGGGAGTCCCAACCCTGTGCTCTGACTTAAGCCATGCCATCACCTATCATCCCAAAAGGACTGTCAATTCTCTTGCACTTCAGCACTGACAGTGCTCCACATCCTTCACAGTAATAATAGTTACTGTGGCTCTGACACCAGGTATGTGAGCCACTCTTTGGTCTCAAATGAAGGCACATGGGAATGCCCACCTGGAATGGAAGTGAGCAATGTCATCAATATTTCTGAAGATGGTGGATTTCTGACTGGCAACAGCTCCTGGGACATTGGAACAGGTCTCAGTGTACTTAAGGTGATGAGTCAGGAGGAATTGTAGATCTTGAATGTAATCCTCTTCTGAGATCAACAGCTCTTGAATAAGAACACTGAAGGGAAGGCAAATAGGCAAAAAGAAATCACAGAAAAATCATCATCATTATCCTTGACATGCTGACAGACTTTGAGGCTCTAAAGTAGAGATATATATAATCAGAGAAACAAGACTCCCTGGAGTGTGTTGACTAGATACCCTCTGACCATAAGAGGAACCTAGACACCTACTTCATGGAGTGACACCTCCTTCTACCTTACAGGCTTCTGCTATTAGGGCAGATAAAACAGAGATTGAGCAACAAAAGGATCTATGTAAACTAGATGGTAGCAACTTCATTGCCACTTTATGCAATCAAGAAGCAAGTATCTCCATGAGAGCACACTCAATAGTGTGTAACTGCAAGAGAGTAACACAGGGTTGAATGCTTTCACACCATCTTTAGACATAATTTTCAGATGTAAAGCACCCCAAAATACTGTAGCTTAGGATATGGTGAAATCAGAGAACTTCCAGAATTGCATAATGTTAACCCCTCCTTTCAAGTCATCCAGTATGATTTAGATTGCCTGGAATTTTCCTTTGATTAAATCAATGGCAAACCTCAATAAAACACCACAAGTCTAAGAGAATCAAGGGTTTGCTTGATTCTGGGAAGGGGGAGGTGGCAGAACACAGAAGGACAAAAACAGTGACTTTCATAGGATTTATTTAGGATTCATTGGAGGGCTCTAGATGCCAACATCTGTGTTAGTCCAAAAGGCAGAAAAACTCAAAGGTGCAAATACCAAATGACATGTGCTCACCTTAGCTTCCTTTTATATTCGTCTTCAGAAACAAATTCTCCTGGGAACTCGGGAACTTCTGTTGTTCCCCATTCTGGTGACAACTAAAATACATGAAAAAAAAACATTATTCTTTTAAGTTAACAGTGTTTTTATAAATGCACACTGAGGAACATCCCTTGTGTGTTCACTGTCCCTTTCAAGAATTCCTAAACCAGAAATAAATTTCGTTTTTGCTGGAGGATGATCAGGTCTTTCAAACCCAGGCACTGCTGCACACATACAGAAATACTGTCTAGACAAACTATGAAAAAGTCCAGTCATGTTACAGACCCTTTCAACAACCTCCTCATATATCACTCCTTGCAAAGGCGATAGCTCTAAATTGCAACAGGAACAAATAATTTTACATAAAAAATAAACACAGCATAATCAGTTACCTTTAATTTCTTGTCCAGGTAAGCTGGAGATACCCAACCCTGTCGAGAGGGGCTAGACTTTGTGGGTTTAGTCCTGACCAGCCATTTCAGAGGATGAGCTGAATCGAGGACTTCTACATATTGGCCTTCCTTCAAAGTGATGGCCTCCTTGTCAGGTGCAGCAGGTGAATAGTCAGCTGTGACCATGTAGACGTCAAAGATCTGCAGACATGAAAGGAGAGTTATTTTGTGCTCTGAAAACAGAATACAATAACATCAGCAGAACATAAGCGCTTATTGGTGCTTAATGTTTTATTCTACAGCCTTTGTACGGCAAAAAGAATCACTCATCGCTTTCTGCAAGTGGAAGACTAAGTCTCTAGGAGGCTCAGGTCATATTTTCAAGTCTATCTCTCTGAAGTGCTTTGGATTTATATCATGAAACAGTATTGCCTTTCTCCCAGGGCAAAACAAACAGTGGTTCTGAAAATGTCAAAATTGGTTACCATTTCCAAAGTCTTAAACATTTTTTTTAAGGAAATGTTTGAAATGACACCCCCAAAAATTTATAATTTTCACTTGTTCAGGATCACACAGTAAGCCTCAGAATTTGATTCTCTGTGCTGTATATCACAGACCAAATAATTAACTACTGAATATAGCTACTGAAGTGAAGTACATCCCTAAAAGGTATGAAGATCCTTAAACCATAGGAGACTGGTAAAGTTCCTCTGTGCCAAACTCATCCATAAAGATACCATACCTCTCCTCTGGAATCCCCATCTTCAGATTCAGAGGAGGACTCCTGTACAATGGATGAAGGTCTGGATCGTCCATGGCGAGGTGATGCAGAGGGTGTTTTTGACTCATCATCACTTTCTGCACCTGGCACTCGAAGTGTAGCTAAAAAGCAGAGCAAGAACAGTGTATGAAATTAAGATCTCCTATTTTAACATAAACCAAACCAATAATAATTTTCAATTTCATGCAAACAAATATTCCCTAAGAAAAGCATTTGTGGTATTTAGTGTGAAGACCTATTTGTATTTAGGATTGGAATGTTTTAATACATGAGGCTGCATGCCTACTGATGTATTGCCACTGCATTGCAAGAGTATTTGTAGGAGATGTCAGGCCTCATTTTTTGCTTGAAGATAAAATATTGCTCCAAGATAACCAGTGTGTGATACACAGACCGGGATTTTTCATTTAATTCAACACATCATTGGATTACTGCCCAGCTACGAATACAGTTTTCAGGCTTAACTTGATTTTAAAACCCCATTGTGACCTAAATGGGGTTTTAGATCACAATGAAGATGGGGGAAGTCTTCAAAATAGGACTGCTTTCAGACTCAGGAGTGCTGAATATCTGGAGAACTTGAAATATCTCAGACGTTCAAAATACACTTCCATGTTTACAACTTGCTCTCCATTCTAAAGTTTACAGTTATTCCTGCTTATTTAAATAAACACTGTGTGCATAAAATTTCATTTTTAGCCATCAGCCATCTTCATTTACTGTAATAGGCTTTTTCTAGCTCAAATCTGTAGACTAAGACATGCAGTTTAGTTGGACTTTTACTAAAATCCTTAGTCCTAAGCAGTTACAAGTACTCATATGCTTACAAAGCAATTTTGAGACAGTTATCCTACCCACTGATAAGTAAAGTTCAAATGATACCTAAAAAAGAGAAATAAAAATTGGATATTTTTCTACAGTAATTAAATTGTGTTTGACAGGTTCCTTACCCTGATTTAGTTTTGCAGATACCATTTCTGAGATATGTGAAGTAAGTTTCTGAAAGAACTCTTCTGAGCCAACATCAGCTAATGAAATAGGACTTTTGGGTACACCTTCTCTACCAGCTTCAAAGTCTCCTGGAAAAGAGAGAATTTGCTATTAAGGGGGCCATGCTACTGGAGAGTCGTCTTTTCTGAGTAACAAAATCTTCTGTGAAAGGAAGGTCTAATTTTCTTCACTTGCCCTGTTTTTAAAACTGTTCTTGCTCACATTTCATCCAAATAATTCACCCTTGAACAGAGACCAATCCTGAAAAGTTCCAACGTTTCAGGCAGTTTCAAGAAAACAGGACAAAAGCAGGTGGTAATTGTGAAATACACATGATCTCAACTGTAGATGTAAAGGGCAGGAGTAGGAGAGAGAAAATAGCCTCTTACCTTCTCTTGTTTCAGAGGACTGAATATCTCTGAAAGAATAAAGCAGAGTTAAAAGTTAACATAAAATGTGTAGCAAAGAGAGATAAATGAGAAACATCCCTTCCTTCTCACACATTGTACATGAAGTCTGGGAATATGTAAGTTAGGACTCTGCTCTTGACTGCAGGTGCTAGTAGCTGATACTCACTAGGGCCACTATAAGAAATGAGAACTGGGGCATGTGGCTCATATGGGCACAGAAACCCTCATGTGTCTTAGTCTTTCAGCCAAATCCCGTCTGAGAATTCTACTTATTCCTAACTTTTATTACAAACTGTTTCTTGACAAGATCTGGCTGCTCAGAAAGTGGGTTGCAAAAGTAAGCAGCCTCCATCTCCATGGTGCTAATGGACTTTATTCTCAGCTGACTCTGAAATAAAACTATTACAGTTGGAGACATTATGTCGAGCGGGATCTGTAGCCTCAGGCAGTTTTCAGTGAACTATTGCTTAACAATTTGCAGTGGTTTCATCAGGAAACCAAGGACCAGAGAATATCTAGATGCTGTGCTTGTGCCAAGAGATCTGCTCCCTTCACATCAGGATGCCTGAGTGTTGGGAAACAAGCTGGCTACTGGTACTGCAGTGGTTCTGAGGTCCAAAGAGACCCTTGCTACACTGACAGCTTTTACCAGGATCAAATTAAATTCATGCTAGCAAGTAAGAGGCAGGAGTCTGTCTTGTCAACACTGAGTGAAAATGGCTTCATCAGTGTGAAGAACTACCAGCACTGCTTGCATCTGATGAAGAGTGTTTGTGGTGTTTACCCACCAAAACACTAATATCCTGAAGTCAACATCTTTGCTGTTGCTATACTTTTTGGAGGCAGCATATAAATTTTTATTGCACAGGCTGATCTGCCCTAATTCTCTGTTATTACATAGGAAGCGGGAGGAAGCTCACTCCATCTGATATGTGATAAATCATATACCATCAGTGTTGGCAAGTAACAGTCAGAAGACCTTGACCCTTGAATTGGGTTTTTTTTTTTTGTGCATTCTGCTTAGGAGATGAAGAAGTAGCGAGAGTTTTATACGACCTACCCACTTTTTTTTCTGTCCTTGTTCCTATCCTCCATGATAATCAAGCTTAAATGGCTGTCACTGATATTATATATAGAATGTATACTATATAGTACTAGATATAGTATGTGGTATTTGTAGCTATTTCCATCCTAGGACCTCTAACTATTTTAGTTCTGATGTTGAGACATGAATATAAGATGTCCAAAGTGAACACTGCCTAAAAGTGACTCATGGGAACTGGTGCTTGCACTGCTCCACTGCAGCACAGGTGGCCAACCACTTACCCCAGTGTGGTCATGATGGCTTCTGACACCATAACACGCTCCTGGGTCAGAACTTCAGCCTCTTTCACTGCAAGATCAAGGTTTATCATTAGAGGACAGAAGGCAAATAATATTCTTTTTATGTACTTAATGTAGGTATGTTTTCTAGATGTGTATTACTGGGAACACTGGAATCTGCTCTATTAGCAGATCCTGACCTGGAAGATGTACTCCCACTCATGATGTGAATAGTTTGCTCCTCTCACTGTTCATGTAGATGTATTAATGCCCCATTTCTCTACACTGCTCAAGCTATGCTTCTGTAGCTCTTTGTACAGTAAAAATGTGGGATGAAAGGAAGGATAATGGAAAAATGAAGTCCTTCACAGTGCTGCCCCTAGATTTGCTTGTCTCCTGTCTTACTGAATAAATTGTCACAGGAGGCACCCTGAAAAGCTCTGCAAAAGGGAAAGCAAATAATCCTAGCTGCCATAAGGCAGTTCTACAATGCAAAATACCTTAGCAGAGAGAAACATTCTAAGCAATTTTTCAAATTATGACTTTTTCTAGTTACTTTGCATGGCCTTCCTTTCTTTCATTTTCCTTTGTGCTTAATTTAGTTGTTTCTTGGACTTGTCTTCTGTTTATATAGAAAAGATGTTGCTGTTAATCCAAAATAGGGTCAGAAATCTGAGACATTATAGAAATAAAGAGTGCAATCATTTGCAAGGCAAGCAAAGCCATGGCTAATTTTGGGAAAATGCATATTTTTTTCAAGTTGCAATTTGATTAGTTTCCTTATCAGTCACACTTGTTCTTCTCTTAGGGACTGTATAAAACATCAAATAGAGAATGTGTTTGTATTGTAACAAAGATTTACCATCTGAAACTTCCACAGTGGCGGTGCAGATGGACTGGCCAGCCTTGTTGGTAGCAATGCACGTATAAGCTCCACTGTACTTCCTTTTGACATCTAACAGGATTAGACTGTGATGCATATTTGAACTGGCAAGTTTATACCCAGGAGTTTCTGGTTTGATCCACAAGATGTCTTCCCGAGACTCTTCTTTCAGCCAAGTAATAGTTGGTGGTGGATGTCCTAAAGAAAAACCCATGCAATGAGCTTTAATTTTCCTAATGGTGTTCCTGCCTTACAACTATGAGCCATGCTGTGAATAAACGCTATTGTGGTCTGTTTCCTGATACTTTTCCAAAAATAAGAGGCATAATGTATATTAAATGATATCTTTAGGAAGTTGTCTTTCTACAACTCACTCAAAAGGACATCAAACCTTTTTCTAAAATCGAAACTTAGTCAACACATCTTTATAAGACCAGTAAGTGTTGTTATCCCTGTTTTTGCATACAGGAAAATGGAGGTGAAGGTGAATAGATGCTTTTCTGTAAAGCACATAAAAGTATTTTACAAAGCTGAGAGTACAGTCCCAGTCTTCAGATACAGAAGATGAGGTTACAATGACTTGGGCCAGAGAGAGTCTAGAATTTGCTGTGAAGTTATGCAATTTAAGTGTTATGCAGAGAGGCAAGGTATCTATCCACTTACCTTCAACTTTGACAGATAATGTGATGCTTGCACCTTTTTTCACCTTTTTATTAGTAAATCTTTCTAGGAACCTTGGTGGTATCAGCTGCTCATGGGAATCTGAAAATGACATTATTGATGAAACATGGTGACTTTAGATGACTGAAAAATTCCTGGGGGGTCTGAATATCACCTGCTATGGCTCCTCTCACCTGTTTCTGATGGCTCTTCTTTCTCATCAGGATCTGTAACACAAGGAGGAAAAAACAAAATGACAAACACAAGTACCTTTCTGCCCATGACTTGAATTAAAAACAAAAAAAAGTCACTCCAGAGGATTACTCCTTGTAGGAGATATTACACAGAAATGTTAGTATAATTTATAAGAGGCCCTCAGTTTTAATAAAATGAACCATTAAAGTTGCTGAGGTTGGGTGGGAATAAAATGTGTTTATGAGACAACGGTCAGGCCCTAGAGAAGTGATATCTTTGGGACACACAGAGAATTTATAAGTGAACCAAGATTAAAGCATATCATCTTTTATCTACAGACTTCCCACTTCACTTGACGTATCTTGGTAGGCTTTCTCAAAAAAAAATAACTATATAAAATGGAAAAAAAACACTGGAATAGAGAAAAGCAGGTGCCAAAGTTAGTGCAATACCTACCCTTGACTACTAGCTTTGCTGATGAATATGCAGAACCAGCAGAGTTGATGACAAATGTTGAGTACTGGCCAGCATCTGCCTTAGTGACATCACGAATTTCCAGTGAGTGGAATTCCTGCTTATCAGTCTTCAGGATGCGATCTGAGGCCTTTAACGGCTGTCCGTTTTTGAACCAATAGAGACGTGGCTGCGGGTATCCTGCAAGAAGCAGTTAGAGGCATGGAGAACAGAATGCATTGGCAGTATCGATCTGGTGGCATCTCCAAACAGGCAGGTCCTTCTGAGCAAAAGCCAAGGAATTCTCATCTCTGCTCAAGGCTGCTATTTCAATGATTTATCCAATCATGAATGTCGGCAAATTCATGAAATTCTACTGCTCTGTTAAAGTTCTTTCCTGTCTCTTCAGTTTCTGGCACTCCCCATACTGGCTGCACGTGCAAATACCTTTCAGGTTGGACAGGTAACACTTAGGTTTGACTTGCAATGTACACAAAGACAAAAGTTGAAACTAAACCCGTTCTCACCATTTTTATAGGCAGCAATGGGAGAAAACAGGAAAATCCCTACCTCTCCCTGCCACAGTCCACAACAGGAGGATGTTTTTGCAGTTTTTAGGTTGTAGCAGCAATCCCCTCATAAAGCAAGGCAAGTCCAGGATTGTTTATTTACCAAAGAGAATAAAGGACACCCTCACTATGATTTTTCTTATCCTTTATTGTTCCTCCATAACTAATATGCTCAGAGAATTACAGGACTCAGTTTTCAGAAGCATATGCCTGTAATTGTGCGTGAAGACATGTACACAGAATGAGACAATCTTCCTGACTCTGCTGCAAAAGCCAATGTTCATCAACATGAATATGTTCTTCTAGCAGTTTGGTGCAAATGTGGTGCAAGATGCATGGGTTATGGGCACAGCTGCAGAAAAACACATTGGAAAACCTTGTCCAGCACTTCAACCTGGCAGCAAAACTGGAACAACAGTGCTGTGGACTCCACTCACCTTTCACCTTCAGGTGAAATTTAGCCAGTGATGCTCCAGGTGCCACATGAATATCATGAAGCTCATCAAAGATCTGGGGCAATTGCTCCTCCTCAGTGGTAGATTCCTCCTGTTCTCGGCTAAGAAGCAATAAGATTTAGAAAGAAGAGAGTCAGCAAGCCAGAAAAAAGTTAGGAGTCAGAATTACCTATTTGAAGTTATTCGGTCTGTGAGCTTTGTCATCATGGCAACAGGTTCAGCACCATATGACATTAAAAGTAGTGGGGTGATATTGTGAAGAAAAACCCAGGCTAGGCTGACGGCAGCCAGAGCAAGTTTGCACATGATAAATGTCCAGCTGTTGCAGTTACTGCATCTCAGCTGGTCTGACTGTCTTTTATGACATTAAGCTGGCCCTGCTAGATATAGCAAAACCATAAATATTCATATTGATCTTACCAAGTCAGAAGTTAGAAAGAGGTCGAGTTCAGTATTTTACCTTGAAATGTATTCTTTGGCACTGTAGTAAGAAGATGTCTCTGTGGCATCTGCTGCTGTCTCATAGTCGGTGCTGGTTACTGTTAAATGGAAAAGGAAGTGTTTTCTATAATCTGAGCTTTGAAACTATTTTTCTTACTATAATTATACTTTCCCTA